AGGGTACGCATAGTTGGGGGCAGGTCCCCGTGTTCAGATGCATTCACATCTACCAGAGATGCAGGCCCTGCACACCGACCGGGCAGCTCCCGGGAGCAGGCGGGGTACAGAGAGTCACCGTCCTCGGTTCTGCCCAGCCGCTGTGTCCCCAGGCAGTTCATCGCAGTCCCTGGGCCAGGAGCACTGCCAAGGGCACAGAGTGGCTTTTGTTGCTGGGACAAAGTTACCGTCTCCAGGGAGCTGCAGAAAGGTCAACCCGGCACCGCGCTGGCAGCCTTCCAGTGCCCACCTGGCCTTGAAAGACGGCCGCCAGGCCCAGTCACGTCCAGCCCGCATTGTCAACCCCACGCCACTCAGAAGACCTCCTTCTGGGAAACCCGGAGCAGGCAGCACAGGGCCAGGGCTCCCCAGACCCATAAACCAGAGGTCACGTCAGAGAAGATCAGGAAGCCAGGATGTCTGTGCCACAGATGGACGGTGGGACGGCCCCGGAGCCAAGCGAGAGCCGTTGCCCAGTGCCCTGATCAGGGGCTGGGCTTCCGATGTACGCCCGAGGCAGGGAACCCCCCTGTACCCCCATCGGTACAGAAGGTCTCGGGCATCATCAGAGCAAGGGTTCCCATTCAGAGCAAGAGAGACTTACAGAGAAGCACTACGTGGCTCTGAAGGACTCCCAGAGACCAGCGACAGTGGGGAAATGTCACCTCCCTTCAGGAAAGAGTCTCTGCCTCTCCCTGTGCCTGCACTGCCTCCTCCTCCTCTCCTCCCCTGGGTAGAAAGCATAGGAAGTCCCAGCTGTGGGCGTGGGCTTCAGCTCCTAGGCGTAGAACATGGGGTGACCAGCGTCGCCCATCAGTCCATGACGGGAAGTGGCCCCAGGGCCAGCTGGCTTTCTTCAGTGCTCCCTGCCAACCAGTGTTCTCCAGAGTTGCTTCTGGATGGTGGGCTTCCCTCGCAGGCCAGCAGGGGGCTTGCTGTATGGTCTCTGGAAGCTGGCAGCCAGGGCTCCTGCGAGGGCCCAATCCCGTTCATAGGGTGCGGGGCCCGTCCAGGACTGTGTGCACTGGACCTGCCACGACCCAAAGGCAGGGTGGCCCTCCGCTGTGCCCTTCAACTCAGTGACAATCCCGTCCTCTCTGTCTTTGTGGGCTGCATGCAGGGCCGAGATGGGAGCAGTGGCAGGACAGCTAAGCCAGGCCATCCTGGCCGGCCACTCCCAGCCAGAGCCAAGGAGACTGGCACAAGTAGGCATTATGGGGCAGGGGCCAGGGGCACTGGGACAGGAGCAGCCCTGGCTGCGGCCTGTGCGGGGACAGAGCCTTCCCTGGGCTGGCCAGAAATGGACCATCCGAAGGCCAAAAAGAAAAGAAGGAAGTTGACCTGCATGTCACCATGGCTGGTGCCTCTTGTTTTCCCCTCATTGAAATGGGAGAATGATGCCCACTCTCAGGAATAAATGGAAGTCCTGTGCTTGGATTCTGTGAAGCACAACCCAGAATCCATGCTGAGAAGGCCTTTGATATCCGGAAAAGAACCACAGCAGCAGTGTTCGGAGAGGAGCCAAGGTGCTGGACACGAATTCCCTGAGGGGAGCAGGGCCCGAGGCTGTGCCGGCAGAGGCTGGTGCGCGCCTGGGGCAGAGCCCTAAGAAAGCACTGGGGAGCAGGTGAGGTGGCGTCTTGGGGTTGGACGCAGAGCAGAAGCTGCTGGCCGAGGGTCTGTGCTTCTCCCTCTCTGTACCTGGAGCCTGTGTCCCCGCAGCATGTCCCTGCCCTGGCCCAAAGCCCTTGGGGTCGGGGTTGTGTCTTCTGCTCCTCACCCTTCCCCTGCCCCCTCGGATCCCTCAAATACAGCAAGCTCTCTTTACGCTTTTTTAATGAAAGGCAATTACTCCGGATTATCCAAAGCCAATTTTAGCCTCAATCGCTGTCCTCACACCACTTGCAACAGTTTGAGGCCGCTGCGGCAGTGGGCGCTCGAGAACGCAACCTGATTTCCTATTACCCTGCGGGGCCTGGAACGAGGAAGAGCAGTTCTGCTATTTTTGGAGAGCCCCATACTGTGTTTTAACTGCAAACACAAAAGAGGCTTTGGGTCCCAGCTACCGTTGTTCCTTCTCTCTGGCTGCTCGGAAAAGCCGGGCATAACGTCATCATCCTCACAGGCAGCATTGCCTGAGGCTTCTGACACCTGCGCAGTGTGCTCAGCCTGAGATCGAGCAGTTCGCTGAATCTTTCCCATTTTGGGCTGCTGCCTCTCTTTTACACATGAAGCTGAGGTTCAGAGCAGTTAAGCAACTTGCTGACGCTCACATAGCTCATAAGTGGTGGAACTGCGATCTGAACCACGGTAGCCAGCTGCAGAGCCTGCACTCCACACGCTGCTGTTCTCCCACCTCCGAGCACAGAAAGGACTTTCCTGATATTTAAGTACCAGGGAGCTTCACAGAAGAGATGCCATCTGCCAGGGGTGATGGTCTGGCCTCCTGCTGCCCCTCCCTGTTGTGTCGCAGGGACACAGCTCCTCGGGGGTCCTGGCCCCGGGCTGGAATCCCCCCTTGCCAGCCTCCCCAGCACCTCTACTGTCTTGAAGCCCCGCTCCCCCAGTCAGACCATTTCCCTGCCTCGCCAGCTGAGAGCCCGTGTGTTCAGAGCTCTGAATGGGCCATTTTGGCACAGAGTCCAGATGCAACTTTATATCTGCCTGAAAGAAGATGCAGAGCCTCTGCTGGCAGAGAGGTTTTAAATGAAAGTTATAAAGAGAGAGAAAGTTCCCCGCACCTGGCCCTTCTCTCGGCAGCACAGGAGGACGACGCGTGCCCGCAGTCTGGCCACACACGGTTTGAAACATGGTTTCCTGCTCCTGCCATCCTTCCAGGTTCCATTTTCATTGCAGAGATGCTGAGTGCCGCCCCCTGCACTCACTGCCAGCCCCACCCATGGCGCCCTGACGGAGGAGGACTTGCCCAGTTCACTACATACCGCTGTGCCCGCGCCCAAGACCACGTGGCTTCAACAACAGATCTGTCCCGCCTGGTACTTCTGGAGGCAAGGGGTCAGTGAGACTGACTCACCCCAGGGGAGATCGGTCTCCTGGCTTGCTGCGACACCTGGCAATCCTGGGTGATCTCTGTGTGCAGTCTCATCACTTGGGTGTCCGCCTCTGTCCCCGCACGGTGGCCTCCCGGAGTCACCGGCCCTGTCGCGTGAGGGCCACCCTGCCGCACAGTGGCCTCATCCCACCCCCTGGCTCCCACGGCCACTTGTATCCAATACAGTCGCACCCTGAGGTCCTAGGGTGAGGACCTCGGGACCCGCTGTGTCCTCTGCGAGGGAAACAACAGCCATAACAGTTGCGTCACCAGCAAGGCAGAGTGGTGGGTTCCATCCGGGCTGGGCCTCCGGTTATCTGGCACCACTTGACCCCACAGAAGCAGGAGGGACAAACCCGCCCCTGCCCTCTTGGTCCCGTGGCCACCTCACCACCCTGAGGCAGAGCTGAGGCTCTGGAGCCCTGTGACTTTGAGCTGAGCACCTGGCTGGGCTCTGCCGACAGACAGGGTGCAAATGTGTCGCGTCTGAGACGAGAGCACGGCAGGGAGGAGCATCGGCACCCAGTGAGCGCTTGCTGTGCGCCCCACACCATTGCAGACACCATGTCGCCTCTGTATTGTCCCCGGAGTCCTGGGATTGGTTCCCATTCTAGAGGCGGGAGGACTGACCTTGCCGTCTCAAGGCTTGGAAGTGCAGGGCGGGATGCCTGCAGCCTGAGAGCTCAGCCCCTGAGCTCTGTAGGGGGTGATTCCGGAAGAGCCCTCCCTGAGGTGCAGGGCCCCGGACTGCGTGAGGGAACCACGCACAGGAGACGCCCAGAGCAGGCGAAGGCAGGATGGGAAGTGGTGGGTGTTGCCACGACTGGGAGATGACGGGGGCTCTGGGAGTGATGGCCGAGGTGCTTGTTTCCTTTGAGGCGGAGGAAATGTTCTGAAACTGACGCCAGGATCCTTGCACAGCTCTGAGAATACTCTTAACCGCTGAGTGGCACGCTTCACTTGAACGTCTCCTGTCACGTGTGAATTGTGTGCCCGTGTCGAGTTCAAGACAAACGGGAGTGGGCGGAGGCTGGCGGGGTGAAGAGAGAGGAGGAGAGAACGGGACAGGCAGGGAGGCAGCGGGGCAGAGGAGGAGGCAGATTCGGGAGCAACCCTGGGCGGAGCCACCGACTGGGGCAGGAGTGGCGCCCAGGGACCGCGAGGGCCTGCGTGCTGCGTG